AACAGCTGAAAACTCAAGTTTCTTCTGTAGCATGTAGCTTTTACCAGCTTTGGTTGATAATGCCAACTATGATTTTTCCTTGAAAAGTGTGATTTGGCCATAGTGATCCGTGTTCTGATCACATCTAGGCTAGTTTAATGTACTTTACATTGGGCTGACTTTGAAAACTGCAAAAGAGGACTGCCACTGTGGAGCACGTTCCTTTCATGCTAGGTGCCTTTTGGCTCCTTCAAAGACACTGGTATTCCACCAGCAAAAGGAACTAGTACCAGAGATGGTCGATGGGTTGCGTTGATGACTGTTTCAAGCCGTTTGCATCACGGCAAAATGAATTATCTGTGCACCGGGGATGCTTACTCTGGGGAAAGTGGGTGGTGGTTCCCTCTAAGCAGCGGGACCAAGTATTAGAGGCTCTGCATGAATGCCACCCCGGCATCGTGCGTATGAAGGGACTGGCCAGAAGGTATTTCTGGTGGCCAAGAATTGACGCAGACAGAGTCCTGGGTCCAGAAATGTGAGGAATGCCAGTTGTCCCGACCTGATCCCCCACAGGCACCGGTAGCTCAGTTGGAAAAGTGTCACCGCCCCTGGTCTAGGATGCATGTAGATTTTGTGGGCCCCTTTCAGGGCCAAGTTTTCCTCATTATAGTGTTAGTGAGGTCCCGGGCGGAGGCCATTATGAACGGTCTTCCATACAAAAAGTCGTGAAACTTTTTTACACCGGTCCTTCTGCCCCTACTTCGGCTTTCTGTCTCTAAAATCATATACAGTTTTCATTGCTCCCGCACCTGCTTCTGCTGCAGAGTCCTCATCCGTTCCCAAGGCAGCTGAGTCACTTGACTTAGTTTCTTCCTCTTTAGATTCTTCCCCCGATCCCAGCTGGCGCTTCAAGAATTCCTTGGCTTTGAAGATGGAGTCTATCTTCTCCCTTCTATCATTGATTTTAAAGATGACACCTTCAGGAATTGCCCACCTGTACTGTATACCGTTTGTTTGAAGAAAAGTAATTAACTCCTTGTGGCTCTTTCTCTTCTGACGAATTTCAAATGGAATGTCTTTTAAACTCTTTTAAAAGAAATAGATAATTGTATTCCCAAATTTCAGTGGAGTTGCTGAAGTTGCCTTTAATATAGCATCTCTGGTCTGTCTTCTTGCAAATCTCACCACAATCTCTCCAGGCAGGCTATTTTTTTAAATATAATTGGCGTAAGCCCTATAAGCTGTCTCCATATCTTTTATTATTTCCTCCGCTGGCAAGCCTATCACTGGAGCAATAATCTCACCCAGAGTCTTCTTCAAATCTTCTTTTTTTCCTCAGGAACCCCCTGGAACCTGAGAATCATATTAGCCTTTTCCATTTGCAGCTGCAACAAACAATTTTCTTGAAGATTTTGTTTCGTTTCCACTTCACCCATTCTTTTCTTCATCTTCTTGCTTGAGGTGTCTATCTCTGTAACTTTTTCAGCCACCAGCTCCACTTCTTTTTCCGTTTCTGCCAGCTGGTGCTGTTGTGAAGTGAAGTTTTGATTTAACGAGGTCAGTTGGTGGTTAATACCATCGAGCTGATCCATCACTGGCTTGAGCATATCCGCTAACAGCTTCATGATGTCAGCTCCCTCTTCCGGCCTCGGACTCTGACTACCAGGCTTAGCTTTAAACTTTCCTTGGGATGCCGCCATTTTTCAACTTTGTTTACACTTTCAAACCACTTCTCCTGGACTTGAAGCACTTCTCAATTTGCTATTTGCACTCAAGTAAGTCTCTCAAAATACACACACTGTCTGTTTCCTCCCACTCCCCCTTCGCTGCGTTTATCTGTCCTTGCGCTTCAGAGGCGTCACTCTTTGTGCTCCGCTTTTCTCACGGGGGTGTGTGTGCCGTTTATCAAAGTTCGTTTACTTAGAACTCACGTTCATTGTTGGTCACATTCCTGACCTCGCTCACATCAATCGTTGTTCCACTCAGTCTCCCCCGCTTGTCCCTGTCGGGTTAGCTTGTGCCCTAAGGCCACTCATCAGTAGGACCGTCAGAGCAGAGAGAAGCTTCGATGCTCCGGCAGCAAGCCGTCGAAGATGCTATCCCTCAAACCTCTCTGGCCTGGAGCCTTTCACAAAGGCTCCGCAGGAGTGCCACTTGAGGTGGCACCCCTCCATGCCGATGGTGAGCTAATCGCCTCCCCAAGCTCTGTGGAGAGCGACTGCCATCGCCAATCCATAGACTGGAAGTCATCACATCACCTTCTTTAGGCACCTGTCCAGGATTTCTGTAGACCAACCTGGCTTAGCTGATGAGAAGAAATAGATGCTTTGTGCATATTGGTTGCCCTGTATCTCTCCCAGTGGCTCCATGTAGGTGTTAAACAGCATGGGAGACAAGATGGACGCTAGAGGACTCTATATCATACTTACCAGAGGGTTGAACAGCAGCCCCCCAACGCTAGCTTCTGTAATTGGTTAGACAAATATGAACAGAAGCTCTGAAGCAGAGTGCCCCCCACTCCCAACTTAGGTCCCGGTCACACGAAGAATTAGGTATCCAGAGGGGACGGATTAAGGGCGGATCAAACCGGCCCTATCAGATGCCAACATCTGGCAAGCGTTGCGCACTCGCCCGTAACCTGTCGCATCCGGCCGAAAATGCGGATCGAAAAGGTAGTAGGGAAAATTGAGTATGTACCGGCAGATCCGCAGCAATGGCGGGCGTGGGATCGCCGATGCGCCGCCAGCCCATCGCATCCTGCAGCCATCCACAACCCATGCATGTGGACTAACGCGGGATCGCCATGTTGCCTCGCTGGGACTGTGCCGTTGCCTCCCCAGTGTGATCGGGTGCCGATGGAGGGAGAACAGAGCCGCGGGGGAGCGTAAGATCATGCTCCCGTGCTTCTTTTAGCTCCGCATCTATTATGCCTCCCTTCCATGATGGATTTTCCCGCTCGTGTGACCGGAACCTTAGTCATCCTCTCCAGAAGGATACCATAGATTATGGTATCAAAAGCATCCAAATGGTCCAGAAGAATCATCAGGGATGCAGTTCACCTGCCACTCTCCCAATGAAGGCTGTTACGTCCTCAACCCAGGCCAGAATCCAGATTGCAATGCATTGAATTCCCTTGCTGATGCATTGAAGAAGTAGGAGCCAAGTATCAGGAAAGCTAGATGGCTTGGGCAGAGCTCTTTACAGAGCAATCCTAGAACAGATCATGGACTTGTACTGCCATTTTCTAGAACTATATAACTTTCAAAATTAAGAAAAGAATTAAAACCAGTGTGGGTTAATAAATCTGGACTCTAAAGTCCTCCACGCTTTGGTTTATGCTGCAAATAAAGGCAAGGCCACAAGGACAGATTCTTTAATATATGTATATGTTCCAATTTAATCCATACATTTTTTTTGTCTTAAACTTCAAGATACTTAGTACTGCTACATTTTTAGAAAACTTACCCAGAGAGCTAAGATTTAAATCCTGGGCACAGTTACTTAAGATTGTCCCACTGATTTTAGTGTGATTTTTGAGTAAATTTGCGAGTCTAATTTTTTCTGTTCCATTTTGTACTTCTAATATTCTGTGACTTGCAGGGAACCTGGTGCAAAGCCAACATGTTAAGTGTGTATTCCTTACGAGGGCAGTTACTTGCGTTGCTTTTGTTTGATTCAGCAGCTCACCCTTGCAAAACTTATGCTTGTTGCCTGCCACACTGTTTGGCTAACCATAGCACAGGGATAAACATTTTATAGTGTTTTTAGATTAAACGTCTGCGAACAGAGGGAAACTAAAGAGTTTTAAGATTTAAAAACTGGAGGAAATGCAGATCAGATCAGATATTGATAGCCAACTTCCAGAACAGTACATTTGACGAGTCTGGGCTTGGCTGCATTTTTGTCCCAAGCTTCTCAGCGGAAAAGGACAGAGAAGGGTGAGGAGATCCCAAGAACCCCAGCTCTTATTCCCCGCCTGCTAGTAGATGTGCCAGGTTTTCTCTGCTGTTCAAATCTTGGCCTAAAAATGCAAAGGTAACATATCCTGTACACTGAGCCCCTGCTCCTGTAACCTTTCCTTGCTAAGAACAATGGCTGTCCTGTGTATCAAAGTAACAGATGCTGTTTCTGGCAAGGGCTTCAGCTGCCAATGTAAACTGCTCTGGGGTGATTGAACTTGACCCAACCTAGAGCTTTGCTGGCAGTGCACCAAAAGTTTGAGCTGGGTGGTGGTGGTGAAGAAAAGGAATAATACTTCATAGTGCACAGATTTATAAATGTAGCCTCCTAAAGTGTTAAGACACTGGTGGAAATGCAGATCTACTCAGGTATTATTGTGGACTGGTCTCAAAAGGGCCATATACCAATCTGGGGTGGATCAGTATGGAAGGGGGGGGGGGGGATGCACTTACTTGGGTTCAAGATGGAGTTGGTCCCTATCGACTTGTTGCTGTATCATCATAACTATAATAGAAGTCAGTGTCTTATATGGACCATGTCCCCGGGGAAGAGTT